ATATACTAGGGAAACGTGTTGTTCTCGTTTGCAGGCTGTTATTTTCCTCCTTTGCTGCCCGGTGGTTTATTGGTCCTCAGCCCAGTTGCAGTGTCCCAGAGCTGTGAGGGGAGGAGGTGTCAGGAGCTGTTCACTGATCCCACAGGTGTGTATGATACTGTAACCCCTTCCTAGAGAAACCATATTCAAAGACAATAAAATTGGTCTATATCCTAACTGGATAATAACCCAGTTTAGACCCTGAACAGGTATAAGCCAAAACATTTGGTAAAGTAGTAACACCTTCGTGTTTCAGCATCACTAAAGTTACTTGTGTGCTGTAACTTTGAAATCCATGCAAGACAATACTTGTTCTCCATAAAATCCCTCTTTAAGTTATGTGTTATACAGTTGTTTCCCTTCAGACCCTAAACAGCAGCAGGGATTAGTTCCTACCCTGTTGAACCTGAGCCCATCAGCAGCCAAAACAGCAATGCCAAAAACTGTCTGGAGGTCAGGGCTGTGAACTCCGGCCCTGCCTGCCCCACCGAGGTGAGCAGCCAAGTGACAGGCTGTTTATACTGCGCCAGAAACCTTAACTTATCATTCTGCTTCCAATCACTCCTTCTCAGCTATAGAACCTGAGATTGACCAAGAAAGACTGACCGAGCTCTGTGCTACTTTAATCATCTCTACAGCTGATTCTCTGACTTCACGGCTGCCAGTAGCTGCACATTGCTCTTCCTGAAAAGATCTTTTCAAGGTGGTTCAGGACAAAACAATATGCAGATCGTAACAATACAGTGGTTCATCACAAAAAGCTAAACTAAACAAACAAACAAAAACAAGAAGTGATAAAAAGCATCAACATTGTAAACAAGTCTGTGACCCAGTAATGAGAGTAAAGGGGAAGGAGTGACTCGGTCACAAGTCTACTTATGTGTTTTTTGTTCAACCAAACACTACAACAGCGTATTTGTGTCTAGAATAAAACCCTGTAAGATCCGTTTCAGCTTTTCATTCCTTTATCCAACCTTTAATCTCCCTTCGTCCTTGTGCATTTCTCTCATTCCTCTGTTGGTTTTCCATAGTTTGCCATCCCTCTTTCTCTTACGTTGCTCTTTTTAGTCTGCCTCATGTTGCACTTTGCTTTTCAGCAGCCACTTCTTTCCTTTATCTCCCCTCTTCCTTTTCTTGGTGCTCGGCTCCTTGTAATGCCCATGAACAAGACAGCTCTTATTACTTTGGTACAGTATGGCTGAACAGGGGAGGTTTGGCCTTGAGGGTCTCAGCTAAACCAATGGGTTTTGTTTCTCCTTCACAACAAACTACACATTTTGTACTTTTTACAAACACATGCATTTTTTTTACAGCCACCCACTGGTTTACTTCCATTACACTGATTTCTACGTAGCATGAAAATCAATTTAAAATCAATTAGCAGAATCTTGGAAGTTGCTGTAGTTGCATAAACGAAGCAATGGCAAAATTCCCATTAGGGGTTTGAGGGGGGTGTGTTCCTCTCACTTTTCAAAATGTTATTTTTGCAGTTTTATACAGCTGTAGTTATGTGTTCTCTATTATTCTCCCACATCCAGATTCAAATGGTGACCAAAGTAACCCTTAGTTGTTAAAGAAGAAAGGCCTTTGTGAACTTTTTTTGTCCTGGGTTTTGCCAATACAGCTACATAGAGGCTGCGATGTGGAGCCTGATGGACTCGTTCTCAGAAAAAAAGACAAATACAACAGTTAACTATGTGCTAACAATGTGACGTTATAGTATTCCTCTAAACAGGCTCGTTTTCTAAAGTTATACACGGTGTTAACTGTCACATACCAGGTGTGTAGCAGTGAAAATAAAGCTTTTGTGGGGTTAGTAAATGCTTACATTGTAATGTTATTTACAGTAACTGCATGCATTTGGAAGGCTGTTTTAAATAGCCTGCATAATATTATCCTTTTATTACAGTGTAATTAAGTTTGTCCAAAAGGAGACTTGACTTTTAGTGTGATGAACAACTAAGGTTCAAGAGTCTGAACAATATACAATATGGTAATTAATGGAAATATCAGTCTGCAAATACAAAGAATACTAAGACATTAAAATGTGTAAAACAGCAGGTTTTGGTTTTCAGAATGATTAGTTATGAGATAGAGATATGACATGTTCTATGATTAATGGGCTGCAACTAAGTAAGTGCAAGAAGGTGATTTAATATTGAGTGTACAGAGCTCAGCAAATGGCCTCAGGCCTCTTTTCTGTATATCCACAATTCTTTGTTTGTGTGTAACTGTGATAGCATTTATTTGTCTTTGGTAGTTGAGTTACGCTTCCAAGTTATGATAATGAGGCAGATTAGCATCAAATCCATTGTTAAATCTGCCAACACTTGTTTTGATCTTCTGTTTCTGTTGATCTGTGGTGTGTGAGTGTACGTTGGTGTTTGCTGGATAGAGCAGAGAGACAGCTAATCTGGGCTTTGGACCGTACGGGGCTCCAGACTCTCGCTTACGTTTTGCTGCAGATGAGTGACAGTTTCATTAATTCTTGTCTTGTCTTCCAGTTTTACATAAGAACAAACTTTCGCTGTCGCTTTTACTACAACCACAGAGATGAGGAGATTCTCAAATGTCCTGACAGCCTGTAATTACAGCATGATGGTTTCCAAGCTACAACTCAACAACTGAAAGTAAAACAATGAGTCAGTGATACGGATACTGCTCATTTATTCAATAATGATGTTATTATAGTGTAAAAGCAGCTATCAAACTACCTGACTGCAATTTTATTTACACGTTTTATTGATTCACATCTAGTAAAACGCTGTCTGTAGTGGTAACTATGGTAAAAATCAGCCTTTTTTTTATTTAATCCCTTTAATTAAATCAAACAATTAGAACGCCTGTTATTTTTATTTCAGTTGTTCAGTTGTACTCTCTATTGGAAAGGACATTTTGTTAATGCCTGGATCAAACCATGTACCCAAAGAAGTTCTAGTTAAAGTCTCCAGTAAACTGAGATTCACTTCCTGGCTGGTGCTTTGGGTCCAAACACAAAACCCTTACAATGTTGCTGTTATGCATGCAGGTGCTGTCAACCAAACAACGATGAAACCAATTCATCACATTTCCATAATGTTGGCAAATAGCACCATTTTCATGCTGCCAGGTCGTCAGCCAAGCGTCAGGGCTGTGTCAGGGGACCAAAAGTAAACCGACGCTGGCCTGCACACTTTGACAGCCAAATTAAACCAGCAGCACTCGGACTATTCTGGGCCAAAAGTGACCAAATCCCGGTGCATTACAAATCTGGCCTGAGTTTACAAACAGGTGGACTTCAGTACCATGGGACAGCAAACAGTATTTTCTCTCCCCATACATAAGCGATGATAGCCATTGTTGTCTCCACGATAAAGATCATGGAACCTACAAGTCCTGCAGCTCATACAATAACCTTCTTTGTGTTTTCATTACTGCTGTAGGTATTATGAAGCCTTGCCAAAGACCAACCAAACATCTGACAGAATAATTAACTGCTAGTTCCCTAATCTGCTGAGCCACACACTCACCACTTC